TTTCTTTTTTTCGCTAGGGAGAACCCAACAAGATTGTCGATCTAGCAGAAAAGTCACAACCGCTTTTACAGCGAACCAGCTGCCTTACTGAGTAGTTCATACATGAGTTTCTAACTGGTACGCTGAGGAAATGCTCGCTTTGGTTCTCGGATCAGTTCTGTCGGAGCGTCCAGTCCCAAAACAAGATATTGACCGCAACCTGGATATACTTCGTGGAATTTACAAGTAGACTGTAGCTACCCAGTGGAGTACATCGGAAAGTTAATATGCAATGCTCTTATCAGATGCCGTGAACTCGCACTTGCCACTGGAAGTAACCATGGGCTCTAGCCCCTAACAAGTACGAGGTCAAACTGCAGCTCAGATGTATTGGACTAAACACCTGAGAACCATGGTACTGTTCGATCTACTCATTGGCAACTTTGGGTGACATGACAGCAGCTCAAGCTCTGACCCAAAAGATGATGTCAGGGTGGCTCCGGATTCCAAACTCTCTTATAAAGAGCGGCTGCCCCAGATTTGGCTGCATACTGATCATAGCAGTGACCGCAATCATATATACATTGACCCATTACTGAACTACATCTCAACATGTACCAGCAAATTATTGGACGTTCCGGGCGACAGATCCATACTGTAGCCAAGAGAGTCGGGACAGTATGCCATGCTGCATCCTTTCTTATCGGCCTCTAACTGATGCACTAGCCTTAACAGAATGATAACTCCTCCAACCGAACGCAAATAAATCCATCTATGCTGCGCAAACAGGGCCCTGCCTGGGTTATCGCAGGGGGCGGAATGGCTGCCACATTGGAAGGTGTTTATCTGATGCTACGCTCGTTCCGGCGTCTGAGATACATCTAGTCCGACTCGCAAGGCTATATGGGGAATCAGGGACCATCGTGGTCAACTTCAAAAAATTGATGGCGAAATTACCACTACGAAACACTACATCTTCACTCCCTAAAGGTTGGCAGCGACACAGCGCCAACGTCATTTAACATTCGGAAAAAGCAAACGAAACACATAATAATCAGTACTGTACTGGACACTACATACAAATCGAACATGTTCCTATTCCTCCATCTATATGAGACGTGATAATCGTTGTGAAATTGTCACTACTTGGGGCTTTTACTCCTACACTAGGAGTTCTTGAATAACAATACCAGCAGCTAACACGACGGGAACTGCCAGGGTCATCAGTCTTAAGTCAGGCTGGCTAGAACTGGGAATACGTTAAAATCACTTTGAATATTCAGTAGACTCGCCGATTATTTCTGCGTCGCTTTTCCCTGACCCGTGACATGGAGTAATTCTGGACGGTTTTTGAATGCCCCGATGGTTCATAGCAAAGACGTGGTAGACACTAAGATATTTCGACATTCATCATTCACAGTGCACTGATATCCCTCAATGCTTGTGGACACAGAAATCCCATTCTTTTCATGGTGTACATATCAAGGGTTGTCTGTCTTTGACCATTAGGACATACCAGGCGACGTAGAAGGTTTCCATCCATGCTCCAGAAACAGTGCGATTTGCCTAAACAATCTGTGGGATCAGAATTTGTGCACAACAGGCTATATATCACACAAGGTATTGGCATAGCATGCCATCACGGGCGATCAATGTCCACCCCGGAAAGCCCATATACTGCCGGCTGCCGGTGATCCAGTCACTTATGAATACGATCGACAGATATGCCTGTTTAGAGCCGTTAGTTACGGCTAAAATGGTAGCCCTTCTGCCGCAGATCCAGGATAGCTGTGGGTTAAGCGAGCAGGCTATACTAATTGTAAACCTAAGATCAGAACTTTGCCAGGCTCTATTGATTGGTTGAATTCAGGCAGAATATAGGATCTGCATTCAACACGAGACAGGCCTGAATCATTCTCGGCATTTGGAAACGGGACCTTTGTCCGAGGCTCTCGCAGTTACGGAATGCTATTCTACATCTTGTACTATTCATATCATGGATCGGGGCCTAGAACTCGATATACAGCTCTGTGCCGTGTGGCGGAAGCATGGGGTCAAGCCATCTAGCCTTGGCTAAGTCTTATCTCCTCGGCAAGCGGGCAGGCGGCCTGTACAGTGTGCTTATATTGACTTTGTAATCTTTCACGCAGCGAGTCAGACACCAGATGCTGGTGGTTTGGCCCATGCTTGGGTCGAATGCTGATATGTTAACGCGAGCTTGGCGTGGGGCAGGCATGGAACTCTTGTCGAAAAGTGGAGCGAAACTAGAGCCGGGAGACTTCAGCATAGGGAATGCGGTCCGACAGACGATACCCACATCGCACTTGGCTTGGACCCTCCAGGGGCCAATAGGGGATACAACACGGCCACATGCGAGTCGAGACTATGCCGCTGGCAATAGACATCGGGCACTTGCCGGATAAATTGTGGGTGTCGATCTTTGACATGAAACAAAGGTCCGTCCGGCAATTTAATGGATATTGTTCCGAGAGCCCTAGGTATCCTGGAGCCACAAGGCTTGATTCATGAAACAATAAACTCTATTTTAGGCAGTTTCGTTGTTTCGGATAGACATGTAGAAGCTATGCGCTTGCTATAAAGGGGACTGCGTTTCCCAGCCATTGACAGTGGTCATCAAGCGCGATTCATCTGACTTGTCCATAACCACAGCAAAACAACACCATCATCATGGTTAGCTTCTCTTCTCTCCTCCTTGCGGTCTCCACCGTCTCCGGTGCTTTGGCTGCCCCGGGCGATAGCACTCTCGTTGAGCTGGCCAAGCGCGCCATCACCAGCTCCGAGACGGGCACCAACAACGGCTACTACTACTCCTTCTGGACCAACGGTGGTGGTGATGTCCAATACACCAATGGCAACGGCGGTCAATACAGCGTCCAGTGGACCAACTGTGACAACTTCGTCGCCGGAAAGGGCTGGAACCCCGGCAGCGCTAGGTATGATACGATACGACTGGAGAAGTGTGAGGAGACGGCAAAGACACTAACAGTAGCGTTTCACTAGGACTGTGACCTACAGCGGTGAGTGGGAGAGCAACAGCAACAGCTACGTCTCTCTCTACGGCTGGACCCAGAACCCCCTCGTGGAATACTACATCGTTGAGAAGTACGGCGACTACGATCCCTCCACCGGGGCTACCGAGCTCGGCACCGTCGAGAGCGACGGCGCCACCTACAAGATCTACCAGACTATGCGTGAGAATGCTCCTTCCATTGAGGGCACCTCAACTTTCCCTCAGTACTGGTCCGTCCGCCAGAGCGGCCGTGTTGGTGGCACCATCACTGCTCAGAACCACTTCGATGCCTGGGCCCAAGCTGGCTTGAAGCTGGGTCAGCACAACTACATGATCCTTGCTACCGAGGGTTACCAGAGCAGCGGGTCTGCCACCATCACTGTTGAGTAAATTGGGTCGTTTCCCGTTGTCGGATACCGGGGCGAGCTTGCCTATGTGGCGTGATGCGGCGTTGATCTTTTGTCTTCTGGGTTTAAATGGAATTCTCAATTTTCCATTCTGCTTGCCGACTGCTGGAGATGCAATGATTGGTGTTTCTTCCTGTTGTCGCCGTGTACATAGTCACATTTTCGCTAGTGAAACCCATACATTCACAGCCTAAGTGATTCCTGGGTAAAACCCCTTGCCGATTAGCGTAGGAATTAGCGCATCAGTCGCAGTTCGAATCCACCAAACGCGAGCGGAGAGCGGAAGACGGACACATTGCGCCTCCAAGCGAAGCGTTAATCATGCCGATCTTCTAGAGTAGAAGCAACCATATGCGACATGCCTTCCAATGGTATGGCTTTTCCACGATGATCAAGTCACCCGAGCATCGCCCTCACGGGCTGATATCGTCTTCAGGCGGCCCATGAGACGCAACTCGTCCATGCCTTCCAGCAGTAATTTTCAACAGGCTAGGCAGTGCCCAAAGCGCATGGCGGTTACAAAAGGCCCCCATCATCGGTGAGGAGGTCGAGCATTGACAGCCTTGCCATCACATACCTCGCACCATGGAGTTTCTCGAGCGATGGGTATACAACCCGGCGACGCCGGCAAAACGGACGCGCGACAAACCCATGAAGGTGCTTGCACTGGGCATGTCACGGTCGGGAACGGAGTCTCTCTCGCGTGCCCTTCGCATCCTTGGGTATGGTCATGTCTTCCACGGCTTCGAAATGTGGGAAAGCACGCCAATGCTATGGCGGTCGTGGACGATGCTCGGCCGACGGAAATGGGGCAACGCCGGCCCTGCTGATGGAACGCCAGGCATTACCAGGGAGGACTTTGACAACTTGCTCGGACATTGCGAAGCCATTACCGACCAACCTGCTTCCCTCTTTGCGCCGGAACTGATTGCCGCGTATCCCGAAGCCAAAGTCATTCTCAACCGCCGCGATGTCGACACCTGGTATCCCAGCCTCTGCACGGTGCTTCGTCCACTGACGACCGGAGTGTTTTATCACGTACTGCCCTGGTTCAATGCCGACCTGTATTGGGAGGCACAGTATGTTCAGGGCTGTTTGAAGCCTTTCTTCCACGGGTCTTGGGAACAGCACGGGAAATGGGTCTATGAGCAGCACAGTGCCACCATCAGGGGATCAGTCCCGTCGGATCGGTTTCTGGAATGGACTGTGCAGGATGGCTGGGAGCCTTTATGCCGGTGAGTTTGTGATCTGTCGTGTTTTGCGCAAATGCGACCGTAGCTGAGTGTCTGGGTTAGGTTCCTAGAGAAGGATGTCCCTGCAGAAGAATTCCCCGACGGCAATACCGTGGACAAGACTCTCGGTGCCCATGACAACAATGCAGACAAATGCGTCGCCGCCGCGGTCCGTAACCTTACTATCTCAATAGTCTGTGTTGGGGTTGCGGTCGCATATGGGTTGGGAGGTCATCGGGTCGATTGGCAGCGATGGGTTAACTCTCTCAACATCGCGAGCGTATAAACAACCCTACATAGCGTACAACCGCGGGAGTAACAGGACAAGTCAGACGTGGTAGAAGAGAAGGGAGGTTGAGAAAGGATATTTGCTGTTTTCCTACAATCTTGATGACGCCAACGAGCTCCATAATGACACCATCCCTTCAGCCTCCCTACAAAACACATCGTGGGGGTCACAGGCCCAGCTTCTCTATGTTTCTGTGCAGAAAAAGAAATATTCTTGTCGAGCTCAGATATTATTATTGGTAGTATTTTCCATTCTACAATCGTACAGAACTGTCTGATCCCAGTCGCACGCCTAGGGCTCCAAGCACAACCCTACATAGAACCGAGATTCTCTATGATTTCCGAGTTTGATCTGCATCATGACTGGACTTGACTAGTAATTATTTACAACATTAAAAGTGTGTAGGGGTCTAGGAGAGAATATGTAAATACAAGGCACAAGCACCAAGACATCATATTGGCAAACTTTGCAGCTCTTCCACCGAATTTGTTCCAGATGACCCGTGGAGCATGATACATAACTATCCAATGTAGTTCCACAAATTAATAACGAGGAGCAACCTAAAACACACTTGGGACGGTCTATAGTTGATCTAGCAACAAAATGGGTCTTGACAGATGGGAATGCCGTCAGCCACACCCGAAGGTATATATCCCGCTAATGAACTAACTTCCACCATCCGCCAGCATTCCTATAAACAACACCGAGCCCACTCAGATACCAATCAAGGAGTAGAATATGGGGTAGTAGATGGTAGATCAGCATGTCAACGCAACACTGGCCAGTCTAACTCGGGATGTCCGCACGGTATGGGGAAGTTCTCAGCATTCTCGGGGCGATGATCACCCGAAGTCCACCTGGGAACTCATCTAGTCTCAGGCAAAGGGTCGAATAGGATCATCAGTGAAGCACATTCCATGTGGGGACCCCGGAAAACCCCTCGGGGTAAAAGGCCACGGCCAGATAATCTGCACGGGGAGGCGTACGGAGTCCAAGCCTTTCGGCAGAGTATTAGATCCACGGAGCCCCGGTGGTGATGGGCCGAACGATTGCTTGTCCAAAGTGGATGTTATTGTTACTGTTAGACTCTACAGGCCCTACAGACGTTGCACTTCAAGGACAAGATGCAACTCTGGAAACATGACTTCAAAGGCAGGACGCTGATTATCGCCATCACTATGGCGTCATGCCAGGCGTTCTTGCTGTTGGGTTTTGATCAAGGTATGACTGAAACGGCTATACAAATCGTGAAATATACGACTGATGGTCGCAGGCGTCATGGCAGGGCTCGTCGGTGCGGACAACCGTTTCGGGAGGGACTTCAACAATCCCGACGCCAACATGCAGGGGAACATCACGGCCCTGTACGATATTGGTTGTGTGCTCGGATCCATTGTATCCTACTTCATCGGAGAACGAATGGGCCGTCGGATGATGCTGATGCTCGGTGGTTTTATCATGGTGATCGGTACAATCATTCTGGCCACTTCAGACACTGTCGCGCAGTTGATCGTCGGGCGTATCGTCACGGGGGTCGGCAATGGCATGAACTCTTCGACTGCACCAGTTTATCAGAGTGAATGCTCGCCCGCGTCGTACCGTGGTGCTCTATTGACCCTGCAGGGCACAGTGACCATCCTGGGAGTGGTGATTGCCTACTGGTACGTTACATCCCCCGATGTCCTCCATCTTTCTAGGATTGAATTCGCAAGACTGACTACAGACCTACAATAGGATGGACTACGGGACAAGCTTCACTGAGTCATCTTTCCAATGGCGTTTCCCGCTCTCCTTCCAAGCCGTCTTCGCCATCCTCCTCATCCTCCAGTCGTGGGATTACCCGAGACCCCCCGTTGGCTGGTCCAACACGACCGCCATGAAGAAGCCCGCGCCGTCGTTGCCGCGATCGAAGACCGTCCTCTGGATGACCCTCTCGTATCCAAGACTATTCTAGACATCCAAGTCGGCCTGGAAGAAGAGCAGAAGGGCGGGCCCTTCCGCTTCAAAGAGCTCTTCACCTGGGGCGAGGTACAGAACCTTCGCCGGCTGCTGATCACCATCACCATCGAATTGGGACAACAATTTACCGGCTCCAATATAATTAATTATTATGGTCCTGTAATGTTTCAAGAAACCATGGGGATGGACCGAAACCTGGCGATGATCCTGGGTGGCTGTATCCAGTGCACATATCTGGTCGGCTCGGCAATTCCGGTCTTCCTCATGGATCGGTTCGGGCGCCGGACGCTGTTGATCATCTGCTCCGCCGGTCTTTGTCTATGCTTTGTGATGGTGTCGATTCTCCTCTCGCTGAACCGAATGGATTGTGCGTACGGCGCGACGGCGTTTATCTTTATTTTCCAGATTTTCTACGGCGTGGGCTGGCTCCCGGTGCCGTGGTTCTATCCGGCTGAGATTAACACGACGCGCGTGAGAACGAGGATGCAAGCCATTGCGTCGGGGTGGAATTGGATGGCTGTGTTTGCGGTCGTCAAGATCACTCCAATTGCCTTTGGTAGGTTATAGCCCTGCCCTAATTTATTCTTTCGGAATGCACGCTGACAAGAGTAGACAACATCAAATGGAAGACGTTTGTGATCTTCGCCGTGTTGAACGCGGCGTTTATCCCCATGGTATACTTCTTTTATCCTGAGACGAAGGGGCTGGAGCTGGAGGATATTCCATTGCTATTCACTAAGGGTGGCATAACCGGTGGTGTATACAGTTCCAAAGGTGGACGCACAGTCATGCCTGGCCAGCATGCGCAGGAGAGTCGAGTGGATGAGAAGGTGGAAGGGGTGGCGCAGCAGGTGGAGGATGTGAACTAGACAGTGGATGCTATATACCTTGAGATATTGTCTATATACTACTTGGATAGACTGCATATATGATACGACTTTACGTTGCATGGAACTAATGTTTTAAGTATATATATGCTCGAGTGGGCGACCATATAGAAATCAAAGTTCTTGTGATATAAAGCCTCGTCTGATCAAAAGAAACACACTATGTATTATGATTTTATACTAATTCAACTAGTAAAACATAGCGATCGTCAAAGTACAAGCAAATACATCTGATCATGACAATCTCCCTCAAAGGCCATGCTGTCGTAACCAACAGCACTCCTCCCCTTTCCATACCAATGTACCTAACCTCCGAGATGCAGATTAGATCACATCTCATCGATCTTCGGATCCATCTTATCCGGCTGCAACATCCTCTCCAACTCCTCTCGTGAAGTAAGCTGTTGCATCTTCACTTCACCGCGGTCGGCTTTCACCTATCACAAATGATCAGCTCTATCACAGCCTATAGACCTTGGGGGATATACCGCTGCTTCACTCAGGGTAGCATGGAGCTCATCCCACGAGGGGGTGGGGACGCCGCGCTTTTCCGACAACGTGGGGGATTCAAAGTCATCTGGGAACGAGGCGGCGATGAAGACTGCTCTAGTTAGCTACCGAGGCTCTTGTCTGTTGTAAGTGGATTAGGTGGCGTGGCTGGACTGACATTCTTGGTTTTTGGAGCTGTATGCCTCCGGGTGAGCTTGGATTTGATATGCTCTTGTCAAGGCAGAGGTGCGGAGGAGAGGACGGGTGCGGACGATGGAGGTTCGTAGAACACTGAAGGACATGATGATTGCTGATACTTATGATGAATCGTTGGACTATGGATATTGAAAGAAATTGGCTAGGAGGAGTCATATGGCGTTTATAAAGGTGCACGTTGTGATGATGTCAGTGGCTAGAGGGTTACCGGATTGGGTAGTGGCAGCTCCAACCCTAGCTTCCGGATGTCGGATTCATAAGGTTGAGGGGTTGAGCGTCGACCATGGATCAGAGGCTCTTGTGACAGGTTCAGTAAGCAAGTCTGGACTCGTTCTATGTATACGGATCACGCCACGCGGAGTCCAGGTTTGGACCTTCAGTATAATCAACAATCATATCATTAAACCGGAAAAGCCGGAGTAACTAAACTGTACATTTGTTGTGCAACAGACATTTTGTTCTCACTCATAAATCTATACATTAATCGTACAATGACAGTGTCGCCGACCGTCAATATCGAGGTAGAGCATCCTTAGTTCAATCCCATGCAGCTGGCGTAGTAGGTAACCGTCGCGGGCCAGTCGGAGAAGATACCACGGACGCCGACCTTCTGCGCGAGCGCATCGACAATGCGGTACATGTCGCCATCCTTGCCAATCGCGGACGCAAACGATTGCACATAGTAGTCGCTTTCCGCAGCTGCCTGCGCCAGGGGAGGGAATCGCTCGAGAGACCAGGTGATGATGTCGAAACCGGCTTCCTTGGCGGCCACGGCATACTCAGAGGGCACGAGCTCGCCATCCTCGGTAGCGTTCAACAGCGCATAGATAGCGGGGGCCATGATCTTGACGCCCTTCTCGGCGAGCTCGGGGAGACTGGCAACAGCAGCCTTGTAACCCTCGGGGGTGTCAGTGCGTTCATCGAGATAAATGGCCTGCTTGCCGAAAGCGGGTTCATGTTGAAGCCAGTAGAAGATGTCCTTATCCAGGAAAGACTGAGGCCACACCCGGGATGGGTTGATGTGGTAGCGCTTGTAATCGTTGATGAGCTGCTGAGCGTACATCTCCTGGGTGTAGTTACCCTGGAACGGCATGGGCACCTGGGGAGTCTTCAATTCCGGCGAGAACTGCAGGCCCAGGGACTCGATCAGCTCAATGTACTCATGGTGTGCCACGGGGGTGCCGCAGGTATCATAGAGCTCCGTGCGCCAGGCCGGACCACCATATTGGTACTCCTCGGGGGTGGTGGCCGACGAGTTGCTGGAATCCATCTTGGCACAGAGCGATTTGAACTCCGCCAAGGTGATGTCGGATGTGCAGCACTTGGCTTTGGCTGGGGTGCTATCCGTGGCCGGCTGGAAGGGAACCGTGCACTTGGCAGCCAGCTCCGGGATGGTCAGGATGTTGGTGGTGGTATGGAGATCACACTGGGAGTGACGACAAACGAGCTCTCGGTCCTTAGTGAACGCGACGTCACACTCAACAATGCCAGCGCCCATGCGAGCAGCAGCCTTCATACCCTGGCGGCTGTGTTCGGGGATTTGCAGCGGGCCACCGCGATGGGCGATGGAGAATTGGGGAGCATGGCGAATGGGCTTCTCTGCGCAGGACTCCAGTTTGCTTTTCAAAGGGCCCTCGTCCATATCATCAACAAGGAAATACGGCCGGGGGCCGACCTGGATGTTGGTGACATTGGGCTTGTGAGAGGGAGCACCGCGACGACTGAAGGATGGTGCAGCAGCCACCACGCCAGCCGTGACTAGCAAAGAAGTAAGATGCATGATGTCAATCTAGCAAGCGTAACGGAGAAGCATCCACCAGCTGAAGAGCACAACGAGAGGGACGATTATTCTGTGCAAGGAACCATGCTCCTATTTATCCTCGGGCTGGGGGCCTCTGTCGGCCCGGTTCGTCGAGGTTGGAGCATATCACCATTCCGTCCCTTGCTTCGTATATCAGATGCAGGCCCCACTCGGATTCTCCGCGTGCCGGAACGACGATCTCTCACACGTTCGGACGATACTTTGGATTCCCTTGGCAACTTGGCGACATCTTGGCTACAGGAACAATAAAAACACGTGGTTGGCCGTTCTGCAGCACATGTCGCGTGCGCGCAACATGATTTGAAGCTTGCTGCAGATTACTCTCAGTGCATTTTCAGCCGTTGTATGACCTTTCCTCTGGGATACTGGGGGAGGCACTGACTGTGGCCACAGGTTCCACGAAATAATCGACGGTCCAATGGCATCTTGGCCCCACCAAAGGATCTTTTCACGAGCTTTTCTTTCATGTAAAACAAACCCAAAATCTCACGAGAAGGAAACAATCCCGCGTCCGAAGGATATTGGGCAATGACGATGACTGCATACGATGTGGATACCCCCGACATTGGCTAACAGAAACTGCGGGGAGTTTCAAAGGAAAACGCTTTCCATGGGGAAAGCCAAGAAAAATCCCAGAAAAGGGAGCTCCTTGCGATTACTCAGGCACAATGATAACAAACCCATGAACTGCCGACAAGCTGTAATAAGTCAAGACTACCAAGAAAGGGGGGCGCAGAGTGAATCCCTATGACGGCAATCGCCGCACATGTTTCCCTAAGCTTTTGTAGCTGCGATACTAGTCACCACTTCATCACGCCGGCTTATGGTCCGGCCGGTTCTCCTTCGGTGGATGCTCGATAAGACGAGATGCCTGCATCATCCGCACATGCGTAATTATGCAACTAAAGCCGCTGTGTCACTCCGTCGGTCAATGTCCGGGGAAGCAATGACGAAAGTAACCGCATCGGCATTGGATCAGATAGAAGCATGGTGGGCATATCTCCATAGTCCGCGAGATGCGGAGTTGCTACCAGCAAGATCAAAATACCGGTTTTGGAAGGTCACTGGCAAGCCAAGTGGACCTTTTAGTGAATACCAAGCTCCATGAGTGAATAAGAGCCATTGTATGTTGGACCCGACAGTGGGGTGGTGGCGTTTGAGGTTGGCCTAGGTAATCCTCCTCATGCCCATGGCTGTGATCCGAGATCCCTGGTTCGGGAGAACTTGCTCCCATTGTTCCTGAACCAAGAAGCCCATTCAATCAACCCGCCCTAGCCCGTGTTATTCTGCAAAAGGATTGCAAGTCCATTTCTACGAAACAATTTTTGTGGCGGCATTGGACATCCGGAATTGACTCAATCGTCGGTCGGTGAAGAGAGGCTGGGCCGAACATTTGTTCGGCCTTGACTTAGCAGCAGCCTATCTTGCATAGGTGGACCCTCATCGCGGACCGAATCAACGAAAATGCTGATCTTTAACTGCTCTGGAAAAAGATTTTAATCCCGCATTTTCCAACGGTGGGGATTAAGCGCGCTGGTCGATGTAACCTTAATGAAAAACGAAGCCGAGGTGTTTTGCGTTTATCTAATAAAGCCCCACCATCATTCGCGCCAACCCGATACTGTCTTTTGTTGCCTGGAGGAAGTCGAAGTTGTCGGTGTCGTCGATGTCGCCGTTGAGGAGATTCAGTATTCGTCTACCCAGAGGGGAAGGCGGTCATTCAGACTCTGCCACCCGAGACTGTGGGCGGTGAAGGGATGCAGCAGTACTGTACTCATGCGAAAGCCACAGGAGACACTGAAGCTTAGGAGGTTCTTGGAACAATAAATATGTATCCGGAAATCAATACAGGTTTAAATAGTTCTTCCAGAAAGATTAGCAATAAGCCATTATCTGTGTCAAAGTTTATATATACTACTAATCTATTTAAAGGTCAAGAAATAAATACAAATTGCTCACGGGAGAAATATGTTATTCAGATTGAAGAACTCAACCCCAGAGGAAATATTTATACGATAAAGGCATAAAGAGCTTGTGGAATATTCCTGGTAAAGCACCAGATACTGACCATAAAATATGCCAGGAGTGCCCGAGTGATAACATTTCCAACTTGGGGATAGTGTTCCTCGTATCCAATCTCGCTTCTTTGAACATGAGTGCTTGGGTTTGAGCCAAGGGGCGCTAAGGCGGTCCTGTCATTCAGACATGGCCGTGCCCTGGCCAGCTAAGGGAAGCTGCTGCAATAGTGTTACCATCCGCCGTGCTACAACTGTTGATCAGGGATTTTGGCCCTGATATGCTCAACCGACAAATTACACAGAAAAGTATACAGAGGTACACTATATTCTCAGGAGATTTGAGCAGTGATGGGGGTTACAGGCGGTCACCTGTTCTCAAGAACAAGTCACCAACATTACAGGATTGACCTGGCCGACCAGTGGGCACAGATCATAGC